AAAGCCCTACATGCAATAGTATTTATCAATTCAGAAGCCTCCCCTTACATAGAGTTCTTCCCACGATCCTAAGTCATTTTAAAAACTTCCCACCCCGAAGCCCTACTACATTCAATAGCATTCATCAATTCAGAAGCCTCCCCTTACATAGAGTTCTTCCCACGATCCTAAGTCATTTTAAAAACTTCCCACCCCGAAGCCCTACTACATTCAAAAGCATTCATCAATTCAGAAGCCTCCCCTCACATAGAGTTCTTGTTATGATCCTAAGTCATTTTTAAAACTTCCCCCTCCCTAAAGCCCTACATGCACTAGTATTCATCAATTCAGCAGCGTCCCCTTACATAGAGTTCTTGTTACGATCCTAAGTCATTTTAAAAACTTCCCCCCCCCAAAGCCCTACATGCAATAATACTCCTCAATTCAGAAGCCTCCTCTTACATAGACATTTTCTCACGATCCTAAATCATTTTAAAACTTCCCCCCCCAAAGCCCTACATGACAGTAATACTCCTCAATTCAGAAGCCTCCTCTTACATAGACATTTTCTCACGATCCTAAGTCATTTTAAAACTTCCCCCCCTAAAGCCCTATATGCAATATATAGCATTCATCAATTCAGAAGCCTCCCCTTACATAGAGTTCTTGTTACGATCCTAAGTCATTTTGAAAACTTTCCCCCCTAAAGCCCTACATGCAATAGCATTCATCAATTCAGAAGCCTCCCCTTACATAGAGTTCTTGTTACGATCCTAAGTCATTTTGAAAACTTCGCCCCCCAAAGCCCTACATGCAATAATACTCCTCAATTCAGAAGCCTCCTCTTACATGGAGTTCTTCTCACGATCCTAAGTCATTTTAAAAACTTCCCCCCCTAAAGCCCTACATGCAATAGCATTCATCAATTCAGAAGCCTCCCCTTACATAGAGTTCTTCCCACGATCCTAAGTCATTTTAAAAACTTCCCACCCCGAAGCCCTACTACATTCAATAGCATTCATCAATTCAGAAGCCTCCCCTCACATAGAGTTCTTGTTACGATCCTAAGTCATTTTTAAAACTTCCCCCCCCACAGCCCTACATGCAATAATACTCCTCAATTCAGAGGCTTCCTCTTACATAGAGTTATTTTCACGATCCTAAGTCATTTTAAAAACTTCCCTCCCTAAAGCCCTACATGCAATAGTATTCATCAATTCAGAAGCCTCACCTTACATAGAGTTCTTCTCACGGTCCTAAGTCATTTTAAAAACTTCCCCCCTAAAGCCCTACATGCAATAGCATTCATCAATTCAGAAGCCTCCCCTTACATAGAGTTCTTGTTACGATCCTAAGTCATTTTAAAACTTCCCCCCCTAAAGCCCTACATGCAATAGTATTCATCAATTCAGAAGCCTCCCCTTACATAGAGTTCTTCTCACGGTCCTAAGTCATTTTAAAAACTTCCCACCTAAAGCCCTACATGCAATAGTATTCATCAATTCAGAAGCCTCCTCTTACATAGGGTTCTTCGCACTATCCTAAGTCATTTTTAAACTTTGATTCACTAGCGCAAGGCCACGGCAGAGCTTGCTCGCATTTGATCTTTTCCGGAGATCTTCCGATAACTTTCCGAATTTTAAGTTTGAGACAACAGTTCCATACGTTTCCAAGATAAGTCTCCAAAGATGTCTTCCTTAGTTACTGCACATAAGTTTCTGAAGATAAGTTACGGAAGATAAGTTACCACATATTGTTTTCATGAGTTACCGAATATAAGTTTCTGAAGATAAGATACGGAAGATCAGTGACCGAAGATTGTTTTCATTAGTTACAGAATATATGTTTCTGAAGATAAGTTGCGGAAGATAAGTGACCGAAGATTGTTTTCATTAGTTACAGAATATATGTTTCTGAAGATAAGATACGGAAGATCAGTGACCGAAAATTGTTTTCATTAGTTACAGAATATATGTTTCTGAAGATAAGTTACGGAAGATAAGTGACCGAAGATTGTTTTCATTAGTTACAGAATATAAGTTCTCGAATATCACGGCTACAATAAGTTCCCGAATACAGTTTTATAAGTTTCCGAGGATAAGTTACTGAAGATATCCCTATTAGTGCCTGAAGATAGGTTTCGGAAGATAATTTCACGAAGATTAGTGACCGAATCCGTTCCCATTAGTTACCGAATACAACGTTGACCAAGTAAGAGACAAAAGCTATAGCAAAAGAACGGAAAAGGAAAGGAGAGAATGATTTTGGAAAAACATACTTCCAAAAAAAACTGGACACAATAGAGGACAACCACAACAAACACACTATTGGGGATCTGGGTTGCTCATGGACTACTCCCTTGAAAAATTGTGTGGATGTTTTTTTGGGTGTTTCATCAGACATCAAATATTTTGTGAAATTAAACAGTTTGAAAATTCCAAAAGAATGGAGCTAAGACCAGCTAAGAAAGTAAAAAAGAGAAAAGTATTAGCAAAGGAAAGGAAAAGGAAAGGAGAAACTGAAAAAAAATGAAAGTAGAGGAAAAGAGGAAAAGTATTAATTGCAAAGGGAAAGAGAAAAAAGAGAAAAGGAAAGAGAAAAGTGATTTTGGGAAAAAATACTTTCAAAAAAAAACTGGGCACAATAGAGGACCACCACAACAAACACACTATTGAGAACCAGGGTTGTTCATGGACTACTCCCTTGAAAAATTGTTTGAGCGCTGTTTTTTTTTATTGGGTTTCATCAGACATCATATATTTTGTGAAATTAAACAGTTTGAGAATTCCAAAAGAATGGAGGTAAGAAAGTAAAAAAGAGAAAAATATTAGCAAAGGAAAGCAAAATGGAAAGGAGAAACTGATTTTGGAAAAAAATACGTCCAAAAAAAAACTGGACACAATAGAGGACCACCACAACAAACACACTATTGAGGATCAGGGTTGTTCATGGACTACCCTCTTGGAAAAATGTTTGAGTGCGGTTTTTTAATTGGGTGTTAATAAGGCATCCTATATTTTGGGGAAATTGGGCATTTCTGAGAATTCCAAAAGAATGGAGCTAAGAAAGTAAAAAAAGAAAAACATATTAGCAAAGGAAAGGAAACGGAAAAGAGATAATGATTTTGAAAAAAAATGTTTCCAAAAAAAGTTGGACACAATAGAGGGCCACCACAACAAACACACTATTGAGGATCAGGGTTGCTTATGGACTACCCTCTTGAAAAAATGTTTGAGTGCTGTTTTTTAATTGGGTGTTAATAAGGCATCCTATATTTTGGGGAAATTGGGCATTTCTGAGAATTCCAAAAGAATGGAGCTAAGAAAGTAAAAAAAGAAAAACATATTAGCAAAGGAAAGGAAACGGAAAAGAGATAATGATTTTGAAAAAAAATGTTTCCAAAAAAAGTTGGACACAATAGAGGGCCACCACAACAAACACACTATTGAGGATCAGGGTTGCTTATGGACTACCCTCTTGAAAAAATGTTTGAGTGCTGTTTTTTAATTGGGTGTTAATAAGGCATCCTATATTTTGGGGAAATTGGGCATTTCTGAGAATTCCAAAAGAATGGAGCTAAGAAAGTAAAAAAAGAAAAACATATTAGCAAAGGAAAGGAAACGGAAAAGAGATAATGATTTTGAAAAAAAATGTTTCCAAAAAAAGCTGGACACAATAGAGGGCCACCACAACAAACACACTATTGAGGATCAGGGTTGCTTATGGACTACCCCCTTGAAAAATTGTTTGGATGTTTTTTTGGGGGTTTCATCAGACAGTTGGAGAATTCCAAAAGAATGGAGGTGAGAAAATATAAAAGAGAAAAGTATTAGCAAAGGAAAGGACAAGAAAGAAGAGAATGATTTTGGAAAAAAATACTTCCAAAAAAAACTGAACACAATAGAGGACCACCACAACAAACTTATTATTTAGGATCAATCTTGCTCATGAAAAAAACTGAAATAAAAATTTCTTCAGACAACAGTTGGACACAATAGAGGACCACCACAACAAACATATTATTTAGGATCAATATTGTTCATGACAAAAAACTAAAAATATTGAACAAAAAACTGAAAAAATGAATTAATTATTCAAAAACTGAAAAATGAAATACATTAAACAACAAAAAAATAAGTTAAAACAATTTTAAAAAGAAAATACATAAACAAATTGCAAAATACACCAAAAAAAATCAACAAAACCGACCCACCCAATCAATTTCCCTGGGTCTGAATTATTTCACAAAAAAATAAAAAAATAAAAAAAATAAAAACGACCCACCGCACTAATCAGGATACAACATTGTCATTTTCATCATGATCCAAACTAAGTCAAAGGCATTTAAAGATGAAAAATGATGCTGCATCATGCAGAATGATACTGCATGCGCTGGAAGCAGCCAGAAAGACAGCCTTCCGTCAGTTAGATGTCTCAATCTGGGCTGCAAGGAAGAGGATTGTGAATCCTCACGCTTGCCAGAGGCGGCGACTTAGAGAATTGAGTTCAGAACCATTGAAGGTGTACTAAAGACTAGTGAAAAGTATGTGAGTCCTGCTTGGTTCCACCTGACTTGTGCTGCTGGCGGCGTTTTTGGCCAGGAAACTCCAGCTCTTTCTTCAGAGCTACTAGAAGAAATGTGTCAGCAGGACACTTGCTGCCGGCTTTGAGAACTGTTGAATAATTTTTGCAGAGTCAAGATCTAGATCTGGCGTTGCCTTAGGTGTTCTGCTTGTTTTTTCACTCTTGCGCACTACATGGCAGGAGGCAGCCTACGATGCGTCTACACCTGTGGAGGACAAGCAGGGTAGGCTGTGGTTTTCAACACACCCACAGCTTGTTAAAACATTATTCAAACAGTATTTAAGCATTATTGAATCATTTTCAACATGATCCAAACTAAGTCAAAGGCATTTAAAGATGAAAAATGATGCTGCATCATGCAGAATGATACTGCATGCGCTGGAAGCAGCCAGAAAGACAGCCTTCCGTCAGTTAGATGTCTCAATCTGGGCTGCAAGGAAGAGGATTGTGAATCCTCACGCTTGCCAGAGGCGGCGACTTAGAGAATTGAGTTCAGAACCATTGAAGGTGTACTAAAGACTAGTGAAAAGTATGTGAGTCCTGCTTGGTTCCACCTGACTTGTGCTGCTGGCGGCGTTTTTGGCCAGGAAACTCCAGCTCTTTCTTCAGAGCTACTAGAAGAAATGTGTCAGCAGGACACTTGCTGCCGGCTTTGAGAACTGTTGAATAATTTTTGCAGAGTCAAGATCTAGATCTGGCGTTGCCTTAGGTGTTCTGCTTGTTATTTCACTCTTGCGCACTACATGGCAGGAGGCAGCCTACGACGCGTCTACACCTGTGGAGGACAAGCAGAGTAGGTTGTGGGTTTTGACACACCCAGAGTTCATTCAAACATTAGTCAAACATTATTCAAACAGTATTCAAGCATGATTCAACCATTTTCCAATATTTTTAAATATTTTGAATATGACTCAAACTAAGCGTCAGTTAGATGTTTCAATTTGGGCTGTAAGGAAGAGGATTGTGAATCCTCATGCTTGCCAGAGGCGGCGACTTAGAGAATTGAGTCCATAACAACAATGTAGGAACTGAATCCTTCTTGACTCAAGGATAGTTGTCCTTGTAATCTCGATTTCATTTTTGGTGAGGAAGCTGCAGCTGCTTCAGAGTTGCCAGCAGAAATTCCGCAGGACGGCTGCTTGTGCTCTGTCTTGAAGGTGTAGACGCCCACGACAAGCGCTTTCGCTGTTTCAAGTATTTTTACACAAGCCGGATATTGCATTTCAAGGCACTCGCTTGAAAGCAGGCTGACAGAGAGTTGCTGCCCGTCGCGGACTGAAAGAGATGGCTGAAAGTTGTTGAAAGTTTAGATTTGCATTTTATGCTTTGGAGTCCAATTGGAGTGGCAAGAAAAGGATAGAAAAGGTGTAGTGAGTGTAGTGCAGAATATACAAAAAAAACAAAAAAAACGCCGAGGAGTTGTTTCGCTGATTCGGTTTGACCAGACAAGACAAGACCAGTGAGTCTGGCAGCTGCAAGGATGTGGATGGTCAGGCTTCCGACTCTGATTCTGACGAGGTGTCTGTGTTGGATAATGTTTCTTACAGCTCCATGAACAAAAAACACACTATCACACGCAGGCACAGACACGCGCACAACATCCCCAACAATTATGTAATACACTTGAAATCACTTGAGCCCTGATTCTGTGACGCAACGTTTTCAGTTCTGAACAGCTGTCGATGTTGTTAAGTTTTGCCAGGATTCAGGCTCAGACACATCGGATTCGTCCGATTCATCTGGGAGTTCCACATCATCCTCGTCTGGGCCAACAGACTCTGAGGAGGCGGTGACAACCGAAATGCCTGACCAAGAGAAAGAGATGCTAAAAGTATCATAAAGTATCTAAAAGCCGCACATTATGCAAAGTATCTCATGGTTGATGATGAGGGGGGACCAGCTATATTGGTAAGTAGCCAACATCAGGTCACGAAAGGTAGCCTCCTAGCGGGCTACCTTGAGTTTTACTTTGCGAAGCAAAGGGGCGGGCTGGACCCCTTATCCTTGAACGACCAGGAGAAAGGGACCCCCCCCCTCCCCCCGAGAGATGGACTGTTAGGAACTATGCGACAAAAGGCCTTTAACAGAAATGATCTGGAGAGAGATAAGAAACATTCATCCTCAGGTTATAGTTGATCTTGCATGATAACTTGCTGCTACGCTTTGGCTCTTCACTTGTACTATCTTGTACTTAAGCACGCACTTGCTTCTCTGCTAAAGGTTTTTGCAGTACCTCAGCATTGTCCAACCTGTTTTTTGGGCTATTCTATGATCATACTCTGGTCCTCTTCGACAATTGACAACGACGACGACAACAACAACAACAACAACCTCAACCTCCAAAACAACAACAGCAACAACAACAGCAGCAGCAGCAACAAGAAGAACATTAATTAATCAATAGTAGCCAACAATGCACCAGCTGAAACCACGACATTAGCATCTTAAAAACGGGATTTGGATAGCCTGATCACACCTGCTTCCGAGATCGCAGCAAGGCAAGATCACATCTTGACGCAAGGTTTTCGTCAATGCTACAAAGCATCCTTTAAATCGAAGACCTTGTTTCACAAGAAGCACAACCCCGCCAACTTCAACTTGAACACAAACTGCCGCTGGCTTCTACGGCACAAACTTTCCCCCCGCATTTCCACAAACGCTTCTCTGCGCACTATAGACTTCCATTTGCATTTGCACAAGCACTGGGTTTGTTATGTGAACTTATTTCGAAGCCTTAAATCAAAGTTCGAACCTATCTGATTTGAAGTTCGGCCATGTTTAACATCAATTAGCGTTTCAGGCACTCAAGGTTTCAATGTACCAAAGCAGACAAAGGAGATGATGTCGGAGATGTTGATGACGATGTGAGTGATGTAGGCGGTGTAATTATGGATGCGGATCATGATGAGCATCATAATCTTGAACCATGATGAACCATGATGCCGATGATGGCAAATTGTGATGTTGTTGTTGATGCTGATCTTGAACCATGATGAACCATGACGCCGATGATGGCAAATTGTGATGTTGTTGTTGATGCTGGTGATGGTGATGATGATGATGATGATGATGATGATGATGATGATGATGATGATGATGAGATGATGATGATGATGATGATGGTGATGATGATGATGGTGATGACGATGGTGGTGATGATGATGATGTGATGATGATCATGATGATGATGGCAGTGGTGATGATGATGATGATGATGATGATTATGATGGTGATGATGGTGGTGATGATGGCAGTGATGATGATGATGATGATCATGATGATGATGATATGTGATGATGATGATGATGATGATGATGATGATGATGATGATGATGATGGTGATGATGATGATGATGATGATTTTGATGATGATGATGATGATGAGATGATGATGACGATGATGAGGATGACGATGATGATGATGATGATGACGATGATGACGATGATGAATGATGATGATGATGATGATGCTGACCCCGCCAACCCCGCCAAAACCCCGCGAAACCCCGCCGACCTACCCCGCCTACCCCGCCGACCCGCCCGACCCCGCGCACCCCGCCGACCCCGCCGACCCCCGCCGACCCCGCCGCCACCCACCCCGCCAACCCCGCCAACCCCGCCAACCCCCCGCCCCCCGCCCTCCACCCCGCCAACCCCGCCAACCCCGCCAACCCCGCGAACCCCGCGTGCGTCTCTGTATACGTATGCATACGTATGAATGCATGCCTGTATGGGTTTTTCTATGTCTGTATCTATGCATGTATGCAAAATTTAGTTAGTATGTAATTATGTATGGTTGTGTATGTTATGTTTTGTTTTGTTATGTAATCTAACGTAACGAAGAGTAAGGTAATGTAATCTTATGTATGTATGTCTATACATACACATGTATTTTCTGACCTGTTTTTATGATAGTTGAAAAGGTGGTACTGAATGTATAGGCATCGTTGGACAGAATGGTCACCCACCAGTATTCGCTACTGGTACGAATCGAGGCATTCTTGAAACGATCACTACAGGACTACAGGTGAATGGGGTACCCCTAGGACATTCTCTAGCATTCTGCAGGAAACTAGTTGAATAGTTGATACTGCTGGAGACGGGAGGTAAGCCCAACTAACACCCAATGGAATTAGCACAAGTTGATTGTCAAAAAAGGAAGACAAACAAAGCCCCAGTAGCTGCAGACAAATTACACTACCTTTCGTTGCATGATAGTGGGACACTGCCCCAGATGAATGGAGCCCAAAGTTTAAATGAATGGGATGGTTGAAAATTGAAATGCTTTGGAAGGTCTTTTGAACTCCCTGGTCAACGCTTTTTGTGGAGACCCAGCCAGTGAGAAAAAACACACACACTAGATGAAGCTACCAGTAGCGACTGCGCTTGTGGAGTTTTTGCGTCGCTGGACCACCCTAAATCGAGCGTTCTAACAGGGAGCGACCGTCACTCTCTGTTAGAACACTCACTACCGGTAGCGACTGCACTTGTGGAGTTTTGGAGTCGCTGGACCACCCTAAATCTTACGTTCTTCTCAGTACAACCCCAGCGAAAACACAAGATGATCCTTGGGTCGATGATTCCGGTGGCACCCTTAGAACACTCACTACCGGTAGCGAGCGTTCTAGTGGAGTTTTTCCGTCGCTGGGGCACCATCAATCTTGCGTTCTTCTCACTAAGACCCCGGCGAAAACACAAGATCATCCCTGGGTCGATGTTTCCCAACCCTCCCTTAGAACACTCACTACCGGTAGCGAGCGTTCTAACAGGGAGCGACCGTCACTCCCTGTTAGAACACTATTTTTCTTAATAGCACCATTTTTTTATACATTTTGAATCCCCAAATCACTACCGGTAGTGAGCGTTCTAAGGGCTCCACATTGACAGAATTCCCAATTCACTACCGGTAGTGAGCGTTCTAAGGGCTCCCCATTGACAGAATTCCCAATTCACTACCGGTAGCGAGCGTTCTAAGGGCTCCCCATTGACAGAACTCCCAATTCACTACCGGTAGCGAGCGTTCTAAGGGTTCCCAATTCAGAGCGTTCTAAGGGTTTCCAATTAAGGGTTTCCAATTCACTACCGGTAGCGAGCGTTCTAAGGGTTCCCAATTCACTATCGGTAGCGAGCGTTCTAAGAGTTCCCAATTCACGACCGGTAGCGAGCGTTCTAAGGGTTTCCATTCACTACCGGTAGCGAGCGTTCTAAGGATTCTCAATTCACTATCGGTAGCGCGTGTTTTAAGGGACCCAATTCACTACCGCTAGCGAGCGTTCTAAGATGTCCTAAGGGTGCCCAATTCAGACCAGTAGTGAATGAATGTTGGTGGAGTAACCGTGGTGTCCAAAGATGCAAATATACAGTACCACTTTTTCAACTATCATAAAAGCAGGACAGTTTTAATCCATGTATGATAAGCATTTATAAACATAATACTTAGACTTTTGCATGCATGTTTCATTGATAGACTGCTCTATTTCTTCACAAGCGCAGCCGTCACGTAGAACGGAACAGTCTAAGCCACCCCCTCCCCCCCCTCGAAGGGAACTCTCGCCATATGCCTGGTGAGTCTCTTCACGCAGCAGCCCCTTCGCAGTGTCTCGTCATCATCACCATCCCCATCATCATCATCATCCTCCTCATCACCATCATCATTCGACTTGAAATTCGGATTTTCGACATCCATTTTCCAAGTACCCAACGGTGCGATGAAAGTGACAGGTTCGAGCATCCATAGGTACCACAAAAAGAGACATTGGAGTTTGTGCTCACACTGATCGTGTTTTTTCCCCCGCACGATGCGTGTGTCTGACAATGTACCGCCAAATGGCTATTTAAATGGACTGTGACTAAGTGATGAGCAACCATGGACATCGTCGGGTGCTCTCTTTTCGGATCCAGATATCTCCGCTCTGCTCTGAATGTCCAGTTCCATGCCCCCCCCCCAAGTGAACTCTCGTCACATGCCTTGCGCGTCTCTTCACGCAGCAGCCCCTTCGCAGTGTCTCATCATCAGCATCATCGTCATCATCCTCATCATCATCATCAGCATCATCATCATATATCATCATCATCATCATCATCACCATCATCATCATCATCATCATCATTCGACGTGTGATTCGGATTTTTCGACATCCATTTGCCACGTCACTTTAACTTTTGCAAGGAAACGGGTGGAGCAAAGGAACGTCGGCGCTTCTCCATGCTTCGGTTGGACAGAAATTTTCCCTTCGTTCTGTCAAAGCGGTGATTTGCTAGCGCATGACGTCCATATTGACAAGCCTAAGGCTTGGTGTCAGCAGAAAAGGGCCCGGTCGCATGTCGGCTTTCGCACTGAGTGATCCCCCGCGTCCCCTGTGACACAAGTACCTTTCGTGTCACCCCTTCTCAAGTTTACTAGCCACACGTCTTCCTGGAAAAATCTTGCTGAAATGCTGGTGAGCACAAGAGATGACATATCTGGTCAGATTCCAAAGCAAGGAGTCAGAGTCGTCCCCAGAGAACGGCGACTCGTTGGACAAGGCCAAGACTGTTTGAAACTGCCGTGTCTTGAGATCATTGGAAGATCATTGAAGATCTGGATAGAGATACGGAGATTGCAGGAGCCAAATTTCAGCCTTTGGCCTTTCCTGGGACTTTGCATGCAGGCCCAAAATGAAGCCGGCAATGCGGAAGGTGTGGTATGGGGTGGTGAAATACATGATGGCCTCGACGTTGGAGGCGGCCGGCCAATGTCGTTCAGGTTTTGCCCCAACTAACGCGCTGGATGCTGCGCGGGATACCAGCCCATCCAGCCCCATTTTTCAGGTTCGCATGAGTTTGTTTCGATGGAGACAAATGCATCGAAACGTCAACGAAACCTTGAGATGTATGTTGAAGGCATTGCGTAATTTGAGAGTAGAGAAACTTTGAGAAACTCATGTGGACTATTGCGGCTTCCAGCAATAGTATGCAGTATGCAATAGTATGCAGATGCAGTACGACTGCCTCGCCTTGGTAGTATCAGCACTGAGTCAGGAGCGCGAAGTGGAGGAGGTCCCCGAGCTTTCTGCTACAACTGTTTGGTTCGGGCACCAAGGGAAGATTTTGACTTCCCTGACTTTTGCAATCAAACCCGGTCCGAATAATTTTGGTTTCTTGCTCTTCTTAGTCGCTCTTCACAAGGCGAAACAAGATTCTTGGGCGATTAGAAGCTCCCCAGCCAGGGGCCTGATACAGTGATGGAAACGGCCGTCGAAACTCTGGACATTTCGGAAAACACGCCCTGAGGCGCATGGCCAGACAGAAAGGTCTGGAGAACTTGACGATGCCCAGGTGTTTGCTTTGTTACTGTATTACTTTGGCAGACACTTCTTCCACTGTGAGCATTAGGTGTATTTGAAAATGGTGGGATACCACCAAAATGGCAACTTTAACATATTTTGATAGGGAATGATAGGGACAATGGTGATTCACCAATGGATTCAAAGGGCAATATGGACAGTTACATGTCATTGCCGTATTTCAGACAAACTGACATGGAGGCACCAAGTTCCAGCACCGTGTATGAGTCCTCCGCATCCGTTACCCAAAAGGCTCAGCAATGAACCGCTGTCGACTTCCCTTGCCACAAACAAGCTGTCCACAGCCAAAGTGCCAGGACTGTGGAGCTCTCTGGCACAGATGCGCTTGTTTCTCTTCGTTTGAGTGCAAAAGAACTTGCAAAAGAGAAGCTCTGGCCCCAGGACCTTAGGAAATCTCAGGAAATTCAGGACAATTTTAGGACAGGGACATTTTGATCAGCCACCGAACCTGGAAACGGAGCGAATCCAATTAGGGCCTCGATCCTGAGCTGAACCGTGACAGGCTCAAGATGTTGCAACAGCATCGTGCAGAAGCCAAGGCCCCTGGATCCCCTGGGCACTTTGGGCGAGTCCGTCTCACCAAAGATCAAGCACCCAAATATGGGATTGAATGGGATTGGACTTGACTCACCACACTTCCAACTTTTAAAACCACATTTACCACATTCATGTTCATGGTTTTTCTATGATCTTAATACATAGATCATGTCATTGCCATGTCAATCTCATCATAGTTTCTTCATATTCATCTCCGATTCTCATAATTTTGCAAGTTTGCATCTGGACTGGCGCAGGGCACTGGCGTATCCCTCCCGCAGCTGGGAGCTGTCGCCTCAGATTGCTTCAACTTCTCAGCTGGGCCGTCCGTGGAGGTGTCGTGGACCGTTGTGGAATGTGCCAGGCCAAACTGGCCCCGGAGAGCCTTTGGGAAGTGTCGCAAGTGCCACAGGTGACGACTTCAGCTACAAAGCTGCAAAGCTGGAAAGCTTCAGCCAAAAGACTGGCCAAAACTTCAGCTGTTTCGCTGGTTTCAGTCACTCAGGCTGCTCACTTTACTAAGCTTGGAAAAGCAAGGATGTCGAAACAGGCACATGCATGCACATGCAAAAAGCATCGAAGAGAGCTATGATTGGTGTGATTTCCTGAGCACAAGAGTTATCTTTTCAGAAAGCCACTTGGTTTTTCCAGAGGCAGCGCAGAGCAAAGGAAACAAGAACAACCCCTTCAAGGAAACTTATTTCAGAACGCTGCGATGCTGTGATTGTTTCAGTTCCAAGGCTGAGTGCTGGTCAAGGTATATCAACCTGTATCATGAAATGACTGCAGGCTTCTATGACGCAGGCTGGTAAATGATATAACAGTCATGGATGCACAGATAGGTAGTGCAGGTGCCGGGCACAGAGCTTTCGAATACTTTTACAATTCTTCATACTATACCAGTAGTACCGCACAAGGCGGTGGCGGAAGTTTCAAAAATGGAAAACCTATAGGAGAGGTGAGTTGGTGTGACGCAAAAATGGCACAGCGAACCCACTGATGGATTGAAAGGTGGTTGAGTGTTTCTCCCTTTCTGTCTCTCTTTCTCTCTTTCTCTCTGTGTCTCTCTTGCGCCATCGATCTACAGAGCTACCTTTCTAGCCATCTACCTATCTACCTGTCTATTCATGTATCTATCGATCGATTTGTTTATTCACCTATCTATTAAACTGTCTATCTTTCTGTCTATCCAGCCATTCATCCATCCGCTTACTTCTCTCTGTTAGTTTTCTTTTTTCCGTCCATCTCTTCATCGATCCATGTCCACAGCTATCCATCACCATGTTCTTCGTTCTGTTCTCTATCGATTCATCCATGCATCTGTGCAGATCCTCTTCAAATCTCCCACCCCTGCCATCGTTTTTGAAAATGCTACAAAACCCTCACGTTTTAGTCACTTTTCAGTGGATGCACAATCCACTCCACCTACCACACAAAACAACGTCTGAACGTCCAAAATGTCTCCGAGACCCTCAGTTTTTAACACTTTTGACTTCGAAATGTGCTTCGCGCCACAACGCCGTGCACTTTTTCGACATCTCAACTTCCAAAAGTGCTCCGAGACCGCCAGTTTTTAACACTTTTTACTTCCAAATGTGCTTCGCGCCACAACGCCGTACGCTTTTTCGACATCTCAACGTCCAAAAGTGCTCCGAGACCGACAGTTTTTAACACTTTTTACTTCCCTATGTGTCTATCTATGCATCTTTTCATCCGTCAAGTTCTCTCTCCACCTGTCCTTCGATCTACCTCTTGACCTGTGCCACGTCGACAACAAAACAATGCTGCTAGACTTCTGTTGGCAACATCAAAAATGAAGCAATTCTGCGAGACTTTCTCACTTTTTGCAGTTGAAAACATCAAAAACGAAGCAATTCTGCGAGACTTCCTTCAAAAATGGAAAGTTGACTGTACAGCTGACGGCCTCGTACCAATGCGTTTTGCGATTTTTCCATGCCATGTCTCTAAAGTACTGCGCCTGCCACGAAAAAGTTAGTCCAGGTCATACGAAATGCTGCACCTGTCACGCAAAAGCATCTTGGCATAGCTGATGATTTGATACGCCAAAATGCAACCCCCTCTCAGGAAATCAGCTCCTTGAGCTCCGAACATCTCTGCTGAAGATGCCTCTTGTACTGCGCCTGCCACGAAAAATGCATCTGTGCAGATCCTCTTCAAATCTCCCACCCTGCCATCGTTTTTGAAAATGCTACAAAACCCTCACGTTTTAGTCACTTTTCAGTGGATGCACAATCCACTCCACCTACCACACAAAACAACGTCTGAACGTCCAAAATGTCTCCGAGACCCTCAGTTTTTAACACTTTTGACTTCGAAATGTGCTTCGCGCCACAACGCCGTGCACTTTTTCGACATCTCAACTTCCAAAAGTGCTCCGAGACCACCAGTTTTTAACACATTTTACTTCCAAATGTGCTTCGCGCCACAACGCCGTGCACTTTTTCAACATCTCAACTTCCAAAAGTGGTCCGATCCTGAGGTGTTTTGTAATTCTTGTACCTTTTCACTCGAAATCGGCTTCGCGCCACAACGGCGTGCAACTTTTCATCTCTCATCTCCCCAGATGTCTCCGCACCCGCCGCTTTAGCGAGCCTACTTTTCAACCCTCCGGAGCCACAAAACCACGAAAAAACACAGTGTTTCGCGACTTGCCTACCTTGTCGCGCACCTGCATCTTCTTTCTTCTGATCTTTTCTCTTCTGACTCTTCTCCCTGCTGACTGCTTTTTCATCTCTCCATACTGTCGGAAGTTTGACTTCTAAACTTCCTTCGATCATGAATCATAATATATTGTTCTAACATGTTCTAACTAAATATAGTTCTACTATGTTCTATTATAATATAGTTAATTAGATACAATATTCACAACGTGATATTGGACTCTTGCAAGCTGGCCTTGCGAATGTTCGTGGCAGTCCCAGAGTTTGCCATCCATCTCTGCACCGCCAGGGGCTGAATGCTCAAAACATTGGGAAATTACGGCCCTCTTGTGGCAATTCAGGGGGTATAACACTGGGCATGCCCCAAATGGCAATTTCAAGGTGGAAAATTGAAAAGTGATGATAAACTAGTGGGTGTTGGGTACACATGGGCGTGATATTTTCAGACAAACCCAAATGAGCTCCTGAAACATCCAGTTTCAAATGAGTTTCTACCAATGACTTTCAAGCATTACAATGACATGATGACCCTCAGTAGGTCACAATTCGGCATCACCGCGGGTGTTCAGAAGAAGGTTCTCCAGGCGGATGGGATATCTCGATCCTCCCATTTGATTTGAGCATCGTTTGTGTCACTTTTTGGCTCAGTGCGAATGCAAAAGCAAACCTAGGCTCAGTGGATAACCTAGGTTCATGCTGAATTCATTTGGACTCATTTGGATGAGACCTTGATTTGAGATATTTGAGACTGGAGGCACCCATTCCTTCTGAGCGGCCCATGGACATGCGAACCTGAAACTAAATCATTGTTTTTTAAAATCTTGTGAATTGAATGGATCCTAATCTGCGACTCGCACTACGGTCCACAACCATCACACGAAAATGCGGAGTCGTTCTGCAAGACAGGTCAAGCCGACATGAAAGGACGTCTCACCCAATAGTGTTTGTAGGAAATTTTATCGCGTTGCTCGTCCAAAAGTCTGGCATTTAATTTGGGTCTACGACACAGATTTACATCGCCAGACAACCAGTATCAGCATATATCAGCATATTCTCTGGTGGACAAACAGGGCCTAGGATACCATTATTTGGATACCGGGCTGTGAATCTCATTGACCAGTTGTGTGACCACCCTGAGCTGTTTTTGGAGATTTGACATGCAGATGTTATCAGAATGGCTGGAGGTGCATTGGTTGAGTTCAGCGGTGAGAAACCAGCTATGCAGCCCCTGGGTTTTCATGATCCAACACACGGCTGCTCAACCCTAGATATTCCTATTTAAAAGCCTGTTGCTGCTTATGGGCTCCCTGAATTCGAAGCCGTCAAGACCCGAAGCATCAGAAGACATCGTTGCAGTTTTGAAAAGGTGATGAAAGGTAGTATTTGCAGAAAATTCTCTCCGTTTTGCCTGTTTTCACATGCAATTCACTGGTGGAACAGAAACAAACTTGGTCAAGCGGCAGGTGTGCTACTGTCTTGCGGGTATTTGTCCACAGGCGCTTTCAACAACATTCTACAACTAGAAATTGAAATGCGCAAAACATCGCAAAATCTATATAGAGTAGCCAAGAATTGATCTATATATAGTGGTTGCTCTTGGTTTGCAGAGTGTGAAGTGTTTTCCAAACCCTTAGCATAACATATGCTATTGTACATACATGGCATAACATGTGCCACCTTTTCATCTCATGGAACTCATGTTCATACCACCATACCGAAGTGGTGGGATCGAGCTCGCAGCGACCCAAAACGTGCTACGCCACCTTGCTGTTTCTTGCATGGGAGCCAACTTCGCGCGTGGCTGCTTTTCGTTGTTGGTAGCGGTTGCCTGAGACTGACTTGCTCTATGGCATCTACAACATCTCCGAGCACTACGACCTCACGCCCATATGCTGGAAAAGCCCATGAATATGTGCCAGAGTTTTCGAACAAGGCCTCAGAGTATAAAGAGTACAAGAAGCGTGTGCTGTTGTACAAGAAGAAAATGTCCCTGGCAGGAAGGGCAAAGGAGACAGCCTTCAACATAATTGCTGCGCTGACTGGCCGAGCTTGGGATGCACGTGAAGACCTTCAGATGGCCGACCTTGAAGCTGAAACTGGAGTGGCCACCCTTCTGAAGGGGCTGGACTCGGTGTTCAAGTACGACGCCATCACCGAGCTGCGGAATGACTTTGAAAGTTTCTTCATGCATATACCCGAAGGGGAAGAAACCAGACCATCCAGGAGTACACTTCGAAAGAGCTCTACGCAAACTGGAGAGCCACAGCGTGAACCTCCCGGACAAGGTCATTGGATGGTTCTTTCTTAGAAGAGCTGGCCTGAAGCAGGACCAAAGACAGATGGTGATGTCAACGCTGTCTGTGGAGAAGCTGAACATGGAGACCGCCAGAAAAGCCTTGAACTTCGCGATCGAGCAGGACAGTGCACCAGAAGTTGCAACAGCCTACAACGCCAAGAATGCCCGGAACAAGGAATCCATCTACTATGAGGATGACGAGATGCAGCCCCCGGACTATTACAACGACCTGGGCTATGACAACGCTCTTGACGAGGGCTACTACATGGATGATGATGCGGCATATTGGGATGAAGATGATGATGAAGCCGATGCGGCTTACACGGCAGAAGATGCGGCTGCTGAGTGTGATGAAGTCTTTGCGGCTTACGTTGAGGCAAGACAACGAATGAACCAGATGCGGTTGAGCAGGGGATACTACCCGGTGGTAGCGATGGTCCCTGGTGGACAGAATACGTCCAAAGGCCAGCAGAAGGGCAAAAGACCGATCAAAGGTTCCAAGTCGAAAGGCAAGACTCAGATGAAGCAGGCGCCTCGCACGCCGAACCCGAGAGCTAGAGGCAAAACTGCCCTTGGTTCAGTGACATGCCTACGTTGTGGACAAGCCGGACACTATGCCAAGAACTGTCCTCAATCCTCAACCAAGAGGAAAGCTGACGGACCTGCTGACTCCGATGCAATGGTTCACATGGTTGCGAACGACGACAACGACGTCCAGCAGATCAACATGCACGAGGACGACGGCGAGGAGAGCGAACCAGATGACACTGGAATTTGGGATTGTGGAGCAGCATCAGTGCTTCTAACCAAGATGCAGCTCAAAAAGTACCTCAAGATGCTCCTCATGGCTGGCTACGACATCTACAACATCAAGGCCTGGACATGTACCAAAGGATTTCGCTTTGGGAATGGGCAGAAGGACATATGTCATCAACGGCAAAGTTCAATTTTTGCTTGGACGACCTCTCATGGAGAAGATGAAGGTGACCATCGACTACTCCGAGAAGAAGATCAAATGGGGAGAAGGTGAATGGAAGGTTGCACCCCTTGGTCCCAAAGGAGAATATGTGCTACACCTTGCAGAACATATTGTTCACCTACGTGATGCCCCGGTGAAAGAGACCTTGGTCCCTGAAGATTTCTACGACCATGTCCAGCTGGAGACGGAGTACAACATCATGGACCTGATCCAGGAGATGGAGGAGATCAACATGATTGATGAGAATGCGCCCATGGAGACCTCACCAGCAAGAGCCCGAACAACGCCTAGAGACACAGCCTCACCTCACTCTCTGACCGACCTCAACCTGGACAAGATCAAGGACATCGAGCCTCCCATCCTTGTCAACTCCGATGGAATTGCACCAGTTCCATACCAACTTGATGGAAATGCTCCTATGGTTGACGAGAAGATCAAGGAGCACAGAATGAAGAGAGCCTGAGGCGGCTGTGAGAAAATGGAAGTCAGGTGAACTGACGTTTGAAGAACAAGTCAAAGTTTTAGACCTTGACTCAACGAGCCCTGAAGAAGTACCACTTGGAGCTGATGAGAAAAATGAGCAAACATCTCCAACTTCAGATAGCCAACCACCAAAGAAGATCAAGTTGGATGAAAGTGTTCAGAACCTCAAGAAGCTCACCGGCAACAAGCTGAGATCCATGACCCACAAATTGGAGCAGAAGGTGAAGGAGAACGATAAGATTTTCATGGCTTGCACCAAGGATGAGAAGCCCGGCAGAAAGATCAAAATTTGGGAAGTTTTTGCTGGAAAAGGACGTGGATGCAAAGCGCTTTTCTTTGGAAGAGGGCTGGGATTTCACCCAGGCCAAATGCCGGAAAGCTTTCATCAACAAGCTTGTCACTGAAGAGCCCGACAGTGTTCTTTTATCACGAGTTTGCCGTTTGTGGTCAGTTCTCCAGGAGCTCAACATTGCCCAAAGTGAGGAATATCGCGCTGAACTTCAACGTCAACGACAAGAAAATCACGACACCATCCTCACCTTTGTGGCGATCGTCTACGAGATTCAGCGGAGAAATGGAAGAGATGCAACAGTTGAGCATCCTTGGCGTGCGAAAAGTTGGAGGACAAAAGCTTTTAACAAGATGATTGGCTATGACTGCTACGTGGATCAGTGCTGCTACAAGCTTGCAATGCCAGATGTGGACGGAGTGATGCGACCAGTCCGCAGACCAACATGCTTTCGGACGACAGGACACATGATTTACATACACCATGCTGTTTCGAGAATGCCCTGGCAATCACCAACACACACCGCTTGAGGGCTACATACCTGGTGTTGGACAACGTTCGAGGCTGGCTGAGAACTACCCGCCGAAGCTTGCAGCAAAACTTGCAGAAGCACTGGTGACCCAAGTCAATCATTGGGATGATGTCAACGCAGCGGAGGAACTGAATGAAGTCTACAACAAGGTGATGGAGTTGGAGAACTTGAAGGTGAATCACCACCTGTGACAGTTTCAGAACCAGTTCAACGAAACCGAGAGCTGCGACGTCAAGTTGGCAACAGACCCTTTGAGTACGTGCAGAGATTGCATAAGAACACGGGCCACATCAGCAACGACACCTTGCACCGCATGCTTGAAGAGATCCAAGCTACTGAGAATGTCCTGACCGCCGCCAAGAACTACGTTTGCCCTACGTGCTATGCCAGAAAGCGACTAGCACAAGCGGCGTCCCAGCTCAGGTGTCAAAACAACTGAGTTCAACGAGCGCATCCAGGTGGACAGCCACTGGATTCAATGTGAAGAATCACTTGTTCAACTACGAGAACCTGAAACGCCTGCTGCAAAGAGAAAGAGAGAGCTGACAGGGCGACAATGTGTGCTGACGATTGTGGACCATGCGACAGACAAGATACTGTGCAGTTCGCATTCTGAAGGGTGAGACCGCAGAGGAGTTCACAAAAGGCATCGAACAAATGTGGTTCAAGCACTTTGGCATCCCGAAGCACTTGCGCATTGATGAAGCAAAAGTTTGGACATCAAAACATGTGCGTGAGTGTGCCGCAAGCCGAGCAATCAATCTGGAGGTACAACTTGAACAACATACTTGGCTTGGATTTGTTGAACGCAAGCATCAGGTGATCAGACGAGCATTGGTCATTTGGGCTCTTCTCATCTCATTTCATGTCTTTCCCTATATCAACTAAGTTCTTCTTAGCTATTTTCATGTCATCTAAGCACAGCTAACCTTCCTCATCTCACCGAAACTAGTCTTAACTCATCTTGGCTCTGCCGCACGTCAGAGTACTATTTCGGACTACAAAGCTTGCGCAGAGTACTTCCCAGTACTACTTTGTACTACAAAGCTTGCACAAAGTACTTCCCAGGATTACTTTGTACTACAAAGCTTGCACAAAGCACGGCGCAGTACTACTTTGTACTACGAAGCTTGCACACAGCACTTCCCAGTACTACTTTGTATTGCAAAGCTTGCACCCAATACAACTTTGTACTACAAAGCTTGCACGAGTATGTCCCAGTACTACTTTGTACTACCAAGCTTGCGCAAAATCCTTCCCAGTTCTACTTTGTATTACAAAGCTTGCACAAAGCACTTCCCAGTACTACTGTCTACTACAAAAGCTTGCACAAAACACATTCCAGTACTACTGTCTACTACAAAAGCTTGCTAAAAGTACTTGCCAGCATTACTTTGCACTACAAATCTTGCACAAAGCACTTCCCAGTACTACTTTGTACTACAAAGTTTGCACAAAGCACTTCCCAGTACTACTTTGTACTACAAAACTTGCACAAAGCACTTCCCAGTACTACTTTGTACTACAAAGCTTGCACAAAATACTTCCCAATACCACTTTGTACTACAAAGCTTGCACAAAATACTTCCCAATACCACTTTGTACTACAAAGCTTGCACAAAGCACGGCGCAGTACTACTTTGTACTACGAAGCTTGCACAAAGCACGTTCCAGTACTACTTTGTATTGCAAAGCTCGCAAAAAAGTACTTCCCAATACTACTTTGTGCTACAAAGCTTGCACAAAGTATGTCCCAGTACTACTTTGTACTACGAAGTTTGCGCAAAAAGCCTTCCCAGTACTACTACTTTGTATTACAAAGCTTGCGCAAAGCACTTCCCAGTACTACTTTGTACGTCAAACTTGTAACTAGGCATCCTGCCTGCTCACTCTGACAGGTCTGTCAGCAAAGCTGAAGGTGAGCCAGGTGGCGTGGTAACGGAGGAGGGATAGCCGCCTACGACCCTTTTTTTACCGTGTGACACAGTTCGTACTTTGCCTATTAGCTTCCCCACCGGAACAACAATACCACCAGCCCAATTGACAATACCTGAGTTGTTGGCAGCAAGCTTCACGTATTTAGTTTCGGTTTCTGGGATCAAAATAATCAATTTTTTCAAGGCCTGGGGGGGCACTTAAAAACAACAAAGCTGGGTCATTCAAAACGGTTTGAATGTCAGGGCTAAAACATTCCAGAGCATTGCGCTGACCAGTTTGCCAAATAATCTACACGATCGATCACGATCGGACAAAAGCGCAACTCTTCCCAGATTGCTCTAACCGTCTGAACTTGGAGGCTCTGCAGCACATACATGGTTGAAAAATCGATGCAACCTGCTTTGACTCTGTTTTGCACATCCTGCTGGACAGCTGTAGATCTTGCTGGCAAAGCTGCAAATACACCCAAGCCAAATATATAGCTCAAAGCCACGATAACCCAATTTATATATTTCAGGGAAAAAATCCACCGCGCCTATATAATATCAAATAATATCGTTCAAAAAAGGTAAATCAATAATCCCAAGGGAAAAAATATACCAGTGGCGCTGCCCAACCTTGACTGGTAGTTTATTGAACCTCTGCTGAAAGATATGGAAGGTCCCACTGAAAGTTCACACACTTCCACTATTCGATATAACAACCAAATCCGATCCTATGGAATGTCCGAATAGCGGTCGAAGCAACGATCAGTCCAGGCTTCTTTTTTCTTGATGTTACGGCGGGTACTGGCTGGTGATCGATATTTGAGGTTCCTCTTTGGTAATATTAATTAAAAGAAAAGGTCACCCCCATGGCAATCCAAAGAAAATTGATGGAGAAAAATCCATCGATACCTGTTTGGAACTTCAGCCAGAAATCAAATATCAATGGAAAAATTGCAGGGAAAAGGTAACGGCTTATTATCGGTCAGCCATATTGGAATATACAGCCTTATCGATGATCGGATCCAGATTTATTTCGAAAAAAAATAACATCAATATATATTGGAATAATAATATGTTTTGAAAAAAAAACATGAAAATATATTTTTTTAATTTATGATAAAATATATTTATTAAAAATAATTATGAAATTGTTTTTCCTTGGATTATAATATAATTTTTTAATTTTTTTTTAAGTATATAATATTTATATATTATTGTAAATATTAGATTTTTATTAATATTATTTCTAAATAAATTTAAATATGTTGATATATTTTAATAAATAAAATATTAGTAATGCCGCGTAAGGTAGGAGCGGGAATTTTAAAAATAGGAAATTTTTAGGAAAGAATGATTGTTACGAAAGCTAGCATTAGCTAGCTGGAATTTTATTGCTTGAACAAGTATTTCGGGGGCTGCTTAAGGACTTTACATAATCTTCGCTCCATCCCCCGCCCCTACTACCCCCCGCTACCACCACCATCATCACCACCACCATTACCACAAATTCTACTATTATCATCATCATTATCGTTCTTATTTTCATCATTATTATCATCATTATGCATTATTTAGCATTTAGCATTTAAAATGTATTATTCGTTATTTGTTATTATTATTATTGTTAATATTTAATTATATTTTATTATTATTGGTAATTATTGGTATTATTATGAAAGCTAGCATTAGCTCACTAGAACTTTCTTGGTTTAGGAAATATTTTAGGGCTCCCTAAGTACCTTACGTTATTTTTTACGCGAAAGGCCCCTCCCTCTGCCCCTTCTTTTATATATATTATTGTTATATTACTACTAATATTACGATTTAGCCTGACCCAGAGCGCGTGCGCGCAGTTTCTCGAGGCCAATTTTCCCAAAAATCTACTATTTTTTTGGGAAAATTGGCGAATACAAACTTAGTCTGCGCGAATACAAACTAAGTCTGTGCTTCCTGAGCCCCCTGCGCGGAGGTCGAAATTTTACTACTATTTTGGGAAAATCAAAAAAAGTGATACTTTTTTGTGAAAAAATTCTCTTATCCCCAGTCAGTGTCCCACTAAGCAAATGCAGTACGGTCGGTCAGGGTCGGTCGGGGGTTCGATTCCCCCCTGGTCCAGTGTCGCTCGGTATTCAGTTGTGTTTGAGCATGTGTCTTCTGAGTTTCCCCCGTAGGTCTCTCATGGATCAGTTGAGTTTTCGTTTTACGTTTCCGTTCTTCTGCATGTACCGCATGCGTCTATCACTCTTTTGAGTGCACTTTCGGCCCCACTGTCGCTCGGTCGATCTCTCCTGCATCAGTTGCGCTTTCGTTTTACGTTTCCGTTCTTCTGAATGTACCGCATGCGTCTATCACTCTTTTGAGTGCACTTTTGGCCCCACTGTCGCTCGGTCGGTCTTTCAGTTCCATTCGAAAAATGGTTTTCTGGGAGCTTTGGTTTTGCGTCCACTGTCGCTCGGTAGGTCTCTCATGGATCTGTTGTTGTTGTTGTTGTTGTTGCTGTTGCTGTTGCTCTTGCTGTTGCTGTTGCTCTTGCTGTTGCTGTTGTTGTTGTTGTTGTTGTTGTTGTTGGTGTTGTTGTTGGTGTTGTTGTTGGTGTTGTTGGTGTTGGTGTTGGTGTTGGTGTTGGTGTTGGTGTTGTTGGTGTTGTTGGTGTTGTTGGTGTTGTTGGTGTTGTTGGTGTTGTTGGTGTTGTTGGTGTTGTTGGTGTTGTTGGTGTTGTTGGTGTTGTTGTTGTTTTTGTGTTGGTGGTTTATTTTGTGTGTTTTTGCTGTTGTTGGTTTCTTTTTTTGTTGGTAGTTGGTGTCGTATGTATTGTTTGTTGTCTGCGGTTGTTGTTTTCTTGTTGTTGTTGTTTTTGCTTTTTGTTGTTTTTTTTTTTTTTGTTTTTTTTTTTTTTTGTTTTTTACTGTCTTTTTTTTTTTTTTTTGGGTTGTTGGTGTTGTTGTTGTGGTTTTTTTTTTTTTGTTTTTTTTTTTTTTTGTTTATTTTTTTTTGGTTTTTGTTTTTTTTTTTTTTTTTTTTTTTTTTTTTTGTTGTTTTTTGTTGTGTTTATGTTGTGTTGTTTTTTTTTTTTTTTTTTTTTTTTTTTCTTTTTTTTTTGTTTTTTTTTTTTTTTGTATTGTTTTTTATTTTTTTTTTTTTGTAGTTGGTCTTTTCCTTGTTTCTTTTTCTTTTGTTTTTTTGTTATTGTTTTTTTTTTTTTTTTTTTTTTTTTTTATTTTTTTTGTTTTTTTCTGTTATTTATTTTATTTTTTTTTTTTTTTTCTTTGTTGTTGTTTTTTTCTTTTTTTTTTTTTTTTTTTTTACTTTTCTTTTTTTTTTTTTTTTTTTTATTTTTTTTTTCTTTCTTGTTGTTGTGTTTGGCTTTTCCCCTTCTCTCTTTCTTTCTCTTTCTTTTTTTCCCCTTTCCCCCTTTGCCTTTTTTCTCGCCCCTGTGTGGCCTTCCGGCCTTTCTCCCCTGCCTTTTTCTGGCTTCTTGTGTCCTGCGTTTTTTTCCTGCCCGGTTTCCTTGCGTCTCTTCCTTTTGCTCCCCCCTTCGTTTCTCTCCCCCCCCTCTTCGGGCTACCCTAGGGTCCCGCTAGAAATTTGATTGAAAAAGGATTTTTTTAAGCCTAGGTAATT